CTTATTGTCATCTACATCGTCCCTTTTGAGCTTCTTTTCACTTGTACCGTGTATCACCGCTCTCTCCACTTCAACATGGGCCATGCGTTTACGACCCCCCCTCCATCGCGGGCAAATACGACCCCCCCCCGTTGTGATGATCACAAAGATGGCGTGCCCTGGGTGTGATGCTACTGGTTAAGGAGCGCTGACCATGTGTGCATGAATGGAAAGCTGGGTATCAGATGAGTATTGAAATAATAGAACGAAGGTAGCACAGCGGAGCCGGTCACACCCAGCGAAGCCAAGCCGTACCACAGAAGGAGGCGCGCCGGCGTCAGCCAACGATGGTAAAAATAATAAAGATATGTAATGCAAGTACGATAAGGTGCATATCAGAGCTGGATTTCAACTCCATTGCCAGACGTTTTAGTCCTACTGGTCTTGGAGACTTACTACCCACTGCCTTTGAGGACTGATCTGTGTCCAGTGTGAAGGTCTAGAACGTGCTACCCATTATTCGGTGCAAAGTTAGCTTAAAGTGTACGCTCAGCTAGCGAATGTTCATCATTACTCCAAGGTTCTGTTTTTAGCAAAATTCGCAGATTCTTCATCTCTAGGTTTACACTGGTTTTCATCGTGCAACACACAAACGAGTAGCAATCAAAGTTGAGACAAATGCAGCATCAGTAAGTCGTCATGTGATTTTTACTATTATGGATAATACTCAAGTAAAAGTGAATTTTATATATTCAGAGGGTGAATTTTTTGAAAAGTTGGTAGGTCTCACTGGGTTGAGATTAAAATTTTCAGATTCCTCTTTTACGAAATGAAGCTGCTTGTCTGCATTTTTTGAATTCTCGTTACAATGCATATGGTGAGGAGCCACGTGAACCTATTCTACGCTACATGACTTACGGAAAAACTGAAAAACTCAAATATTTGGTTAGTTATTTGCGCATTTCTATGGAGTAGCGTGACATTTTCAAAACCTTCGTAGAGACTGGAGTAGTGCCAAAAATCTGTACTTTATGCCTCGGAATCCGTCTATCTAGTTTTCACATCAAATATCTGAGGACAGTGGGAGGCTTAGCCGCAGTGGCTGTGAGGGTACAGACGAAAGAAAAGCAGAGACGCATGTACAGGGGAGGGGGAAAAAAGTCACTTTCCTTCATTGACTTTCGAGGCGCTA